GCGGCGCAGCAGCAGCGCGGCCACCGCGCTGTCCACGCCGCCCGACACGGCGCACGCCACATGGCGCCGCGCCGCCGCCAGCATGGCCGCGCGCACCGGGGGAGCGGCGGCGCCGACGGACCTTTCCGCTCGTCTCTTCCGGCCCGCGGCGCCGGCGGCAGCGGCGGAGGGTGCGGCAGCGGGCGGAGCTCGGGGGGGAAGCGCGCGCCCGCTCAGGAGGTTCCGGGGCCACGCTGCGGTGCGCGGCCCATAGAGCAAGCCCCAAAACGCAGAAATAAGCGAGAAATCGCCACAAAAACGGGTCTTCAAGGTGTGTGCTTAGAGGAAGCTGTAGCCCAAAGAAAGTCCAAACTGTCATTTTTAGTTTAAACAACCATTTATTTTAAATTCAGTCTTTATTGCACTTGGGGGATAAGAAGGCAAAGGACAAGTGGTAGGAGGAAAAAACAATACAGGCTCCCACCAGAGAGCGCAGCCCCTTTGCCTCAGAGCAAAGTGTAAACACAGTCATTGTGGCCTATCCCTGCATTAACACACCAGAACTCTCAGTCTTGATACAGYTAAACCAAGTCTGATGTACAGTTCAGGTCCTCCATAGCTATCTTCACAACACACTGAGTCAAGGATAACAAAGATCACAGAGGCCAGGAATTCTTCATTTTGATTCATATTCAGAACTTCAGCAGAGGGGAATCCAGGTTTTCTTTGTTCAAGTCAGGACTCAGAGTGATGAGGGGAGAACTCAAATCAATCAGCTGAAAGAAGAAAAATTAAATTTAGCTATTGCAATCTCTTATTGTACGTAACTATTAKTGGTGACATTTTGTATTAGCATAACTTTAACTGGAATCCTAAACTTATTATCTAGAAGACAGGTAAGCAACACACTCAATTATCTACATTTAGGTTTTTAAAGACTGAATTCATTCAGTCATTCAGTGACACAATACTGCTCCATGCTCACAACATTTAAGTTTCATTGGTAACCCAGGGACACTAACGGCATTCSAGCGGCATGACCATTGAAGACGGACACATCGACTCTGAATTCCTCTAAACACMTCTCCGGAAAGCAGGTTTTTGTGATACTGTTAATAGCCTGGTATTAAATGCTGTTGGGATCAGTTCAGTGCTGAGGATAGTGTCCTCACAAGTCCCACTTCCTCTGAAAACTTTTCGAAGAGTCCAGCTTCACACCACTAGCTTACCAAAAACACTCGCCCAGAAACATCCAACCTCAAAAGTGAGTTCCAATATACATTTTTTTTCCAGCCTGAGGCAGTATGAGATCATTTAACTTGMAGAGAATTACAGCTTTTTGCTGCACATGGTCTGCATCTGACAAGAACTGGGAATTCTCAAGAAAAATAAGATTCACCATGATTCTGGTGGTAAAGATAACACTCACCTTCTCCTGCAGGACTTGTTTCTCTAGCAAATACTTAAACATTAAGTACTCTTTCCCAAATACACCACCCTTTTATTTGCAAATTGCGCTCTCAAGTGCAATTTATTGCACATTATCTTTAAACTTCACATTCTCTTTACKTAATAGCTTAATACTTCTTGTTTTCTTTGCTTAAAGATAGCTTTGTATGTATTATCATACTCAACAACATGCTGGTGCTAAGTAATTCTGGAAATACTATTGGGCTGCGTTGCAGACAAGTGCACGAAGGCAGCTGACAACTTTTCTGTTTATATTTGCTCCCATTTTTTCCAGAAAACTCTAATGTAACTTACCTTTACCTGTGCTGAGATGGCAGGCTTTAGAGTAATAGTCTTATTCACTTCAGGAGTATTGGAAAGATCAATCAGAGGTCTGCTTTCACATTCCAAAGTCTGAGGGAGAGATTTATCTATTCCAAAATCTACTAGTAAGATCTAATAAAAATTAAAAAAAAAAGGAAAAAAGTTGAGTCTATTCACAATAAAGCCTATTTCGCTCACAAAACTAAATTATTTTCAAACTTTATTTTACAGATGTGATATTTCTTGCAGAATAATTGGCATACCATGTAGAAACTTTGTCCCACCAGTGGCTAGCATTATGAATAGGGTGATCAGAGTGACAACTAAATCAAGAACTTCCTTGGAACACAAAACACTCCCAGCTCTAATCAAATCAGGCTTACAGAATTCTTTTTCCCCTTTAATGCATGTATAATGTTACTTTTCAGCCTGAAACCACCATGGGACAGAATATAAAAAGTCTGTGAAACTAACTTGTTACATGAGCTTCTGGGTTTAATTTCCATAATTATCTGAGGATTTGCACTGGTAGTGTTCAGAAAGCTACAAATTAAACTGTGTTTCTCTATAGCAGTGCATTTTCCTGGTTGCACAACTGCTTTATGACACAACTTTTGTGACTGAATCCATCAGTTTTTTCACCTGCAGTCTAGAGTGGCAAATTTAATACAAAACCTGCAAGTATTAGGCCATTCACCTTGAGATTGGGATCTAGCACAAACAGTGAAGAGCTCAGTACTAAAAGTAGACACTAGAGGGTGCCCACACTCAGATCTATCCTATTTTAGCTTTCATGCTTTGAATTTCATGTACTGGAATATTTCAAATTGAGGTATGAATGAAAAATAATTCATATATTATGCAAGCAGTTCACTTAGTTGTGTAGAAAAATGGATTCTCCTTTCTTACATCRTTAGTCTGTATCTCAGACAGCTGATTTTGTACTCCAGTCTCTCGTAATTCACTTCCCACTATTTCTGCAGTCTTTTCCGGTGAAAAGTCAAGTGTAAGAGGTAGCACAGGTGGAGGAGATRTATCATCTTCTGAAGATACCTGTGTTTTAGTCTCTTTTGTCTGCTTAGAGCTGGGGGAAAGGAATATTGATAATAATTAGTAGCTCATAATGATTAAAGAACTGAAAAACAGACAAGTTTAGTTAACTTAGTCCACCACTGTCCAAGATATTATTTCAAATGAAACCTGGATAAAACTGCTGAGAAGATAAAGTTCYGTCAATCTCTAACAAAGTATCATTTTACTAAAACATTGGCAAGAACATAAAACATAGATAAAATACTGGTTTTAAGGAGCTACTTCCCTTCAACAGGCAACAGTAGAATAATACTGGCTCCAAATCTACCGCAGTTTTTAAGAAGAACAGATACAAGTTCCATCCTAGAAATGCCAATAAGTTCTTAAATGCCAGATTTTGATTCATCTTAATACAGTTTCTAGCATTAAGCTTATAGCATTATCACAAAATATAAATCCACACTAAACCTATGCTGAATCTAAATGTTCAAGTGTTGCATTCGAACATTCCTTGAATTTGACAGAGACTTTAAAGTTTTGCTTAGAGCAGTTTGCCCAGCGGCTCAGTTTGGGGGTTCTTACCCAGCTGTTAGACTCTTCCTGGCAGAGAGGCTGAAGGTTTGGCGAGCCCCAGGTGCAGGCTGTGGCGAAGCTGCCACTCTCGGTGCACTGCTAGGAGTCACTGCGGGAAAGGCCGAGACGCGGCGGATGGGCGTCGGCAGCGCCGGCCGCTTCACACTCACGGGAGTCATCGAAACCGAGCGCTCACGGAAGCAAGAGCTCTGGGAGGCTCCGTCTTCCCAGTGTTTCACGGGAGTGCTCACTGCCATGGCACTGCAAGAACAAGACATCTGCATGAGCCAAGAGCTTCTGGGAACAATATTGTGCTACCAGTCAGTGGAGGTCAGTTTGCCTTTGGTCAGAAGGGAATGGGGCTCATGGAGTTGATCACGATAGCCTAACRTGGGTTTTACTTCATAGTATTTCATGAAGTATTTTAGTATCATAACATTTTCACACCATAAACAATCCTGGTCAGTTTAATATTGCAAAGAACGCTTTAGAAGACTCTTTTTGTTTTTAAACATCAGTCCCAAAAGGCATTAACAGTGCTGGAGGGAAGCAATAATCTCAAATAGTGATTTGAGTTCTCAGCACTAGTAAAGAACACACAGAGATTAAGAGAATATGGAAGTCTTCAGGGAGCAGAGAAACAACCCCCTGTGTTACACTAAAAAGTATATCTCAGTATATTCATTTTTCAATTATGCCCTACCTTCCAAACGTGCTACAAAAAGTTAATCCGAGAGATGGTGCTGCTTTTGGTGCTGGTTTGCCTGGTGCTGTATCTGAAGAGAAACATATTCTTAGTGTGAATTCTTATTCACTCAGTCATTTTACAACTATAGATAATTTTCAGTTAAAATATTCAGTCCTTTCAACAGCTGGACAGAATTTTAACAAAACAAGTGACAGGGATTTGAGAAAACATTTGATTTTTGTTAGCCAAATTTTCAGGAGATGGGTCATGTAAAGCATGTGCTTACCTCCACCCTTCACTGGGACCTTCATCTGACTTGCAGGAACAGACAAAACTCTGGCCTTGAGCTTTGGGCATAAGCTTCCTTTCGTTACACTTCCATCTTTATTCTGCTGACTCAGCCTCTGTAGATTAGGAAGAGAACTAAGCCTCTGAATTCCACTGCGTAGAGCCTCAGATGATGTTGTAGAAGCTGCAGATTTGGCTAAACTTGCAGCACTAGAAGTTTTCGGAGTGCTCGCGAATCTTGCTTGCTTGCCAGACCTCTCAGTGTTGGCAGGCTGCAGAGATGAGACTCTCGTGGGCCTAAGCAGGGCCAATCTACTTGTGTTAGATGGGAGTTGAGAGCCACTCGCACCAGCTTTTGAAGACGCACTTGATTTACCTGAAAAAAATAACAAGCTAATTTCTAAATGATTGCTTATTGTTACAGGTTTGAATAAGCAAATAATTAAGTTCACACAAGAAAAAACAGAAAGTAACAATTAGCAATTTGTCATGAACCTTAAGGAGAACATACACAAATGCTGAAAATACACTTCCCAAATTCTCGAGCAATTCTGCCCATTTTATGCAATCCCTCACCAACTTACTGAATTACTGTAATCAAGCCAAAGCATATTCTGCTAGAAATATCAAAAGAGCTTGAAGATTCAAGTTATATTCTCAGCATTTTCTTCCAGGATAGTCAGTTTTATTCCCTTAAACATGCATTTAAGTTAACAATCATTTGAATTATTCTAATTAATACCATATGATCTCTCACATAACTGCTTTTCTTCAGTTTTCAGTATAGCTTTTAAGTCAGTTTTAGTTACTTTCAGTAGTAGTATTAATCTTGACACTTCTTCCAATTGTATAGGAAGCTCTTGCTACACTTTAGCTTTTATTGATACCTCAGTAGACCTTGTCCAGAAATAAATACATAAGAAAACTCTAGAGTAGCTTGATATCTTGCTAGAYATGCAAGAACTACAATGCTTACACCTGTCAGGTGTTTAGAAAACTATTTTCCTGACCCTTTGAGGTTAGCTGAAGGAGTCAAATAGATATCTATTAYACTGTAACCCCTTATCTATATTCCATTTGATCCCAATATTGAATTTAACTTTAGGTAAAACCCATCCTTTTAACAGGCTTACAGAAAGCCAAGGTTTGAGGGCAGACTTTCCATGTTTCTTATGCAGTTCAGAAAAACAAAAAAGAAAATGAGTAAATTGAGTGAGATAAGCTCACAGGATTCAAAAGCTTACACGCTCAGCTACAATACAGAAAAGTATTATAACAAATCTCCTGAGGCACTGCATATTTTTACTGCTTCAGATTAAATGAATCTGGTTATTGCAAACACTACAAATCTAAGACTTATTGCCATGCACATATATTTGTTCGTCTGAAAAACTTAATCTCTATTCAAAATGTTTTTCGCTGCTTGTATGTACTAAACAGCATCCAAACATACTTCAGCTTGCAACCTAAGGGATGCTTAGCTATTTTAAAACTGATCTATTAAAAAAAGTCTGTTGTAAAAGCAATTACCATTTTTGTGTATAGGAGAAATGGATAAACTTGAGTTCAGGCTTGAGTTCATGCTGGAAGTGGATGAGGAAGATGAAGTAGTCTGTCTTGTGAGACCACTAGTTGCARCACCAGGGAGTTTCAGATGTGTTGTCATCTTCTTTAAGCCAAACTGAACCATAAAATACAGTTTATTCCAGAGCAAAAGGCATTTAATATATMCTTTTGTTAGGCTTGCTTAGCACTGTAGTTACTTGTTCATGCCCTTCTGAGGTCTTTACTCACACTACCATTTAGACTAAGTGTTCTTGGAAACACAGTTCACGTATTATACAGAATTGAATTAGAGATCTAAAGTGGGACATTTTTATTTATTCCTGCCACAAATGCGTGACTCCAGGCAGAGGGATTTGCAGTCTCCCCTGTTCACAGGATGCAGCATAAAAGTAAGTGTCTAAAGGTTCAAAACCAACAGCCACAGGTATTTTACTTTCATGCATGTTATGGCAATCTTTTCATATCAGATAGTGCTTAACTATAGGCATCAAAAAAATGTGGTTCTTGCAGAAAATGACAAATTGCTTCTCTGCAGCTAATGCTTTAACATAAAGATAATATTTGTTAATCCACCACATAATTGCATACATATTTGCTCTTTAGTATGTTCTTCGTGCTACAGAACACATTCAAGAACTGCAATGTGGGACAAAAGGCAGCTTTGCATTGCATGCATTATTTGCAGCAGTACAGCTTTAAACTGGAAAGTAAACTATATTCAGACTTCTTTTTACAGAATTGTCACCAAGGTTATCTTCATACAAAAGTACCTGCCATTACCTTAGTTGGTGCAGGAAGGGCTTTTTTGTCTTGTTTTGAGGAACTGACACTGAATGAAGACTCCAAGACATCTGAAGCAGTGCTTGATTTATCAGAAACAAGATCCTCGTATGATCCCATGCTGTTCAAGTCTCTCTTTGTAGAAATGCTACTGTGTTTTCCTGRTTTAGGCTGTAAATTTCAAAAGAACATTAAAAGCTATCAGTGTTCCTAGAAGCCACTGCAAAGTTCTTCTATGAGCTGATTACATCAAAATAACAGTCAGTGAAGAAGCCTTTGAGTTCTAGTCAAGTCTTTGGTCTTCAGGCTGATAGTTTAAATTTAGTCTAATATTTTCTAAGGATTAGAACAGGCGTTGACTCATATGATTGGTAGTCAACCTAGGGACAGTTCTGCAACAACACTTCATCAGCACAAGTTTCATATAATTATATTCATCTATATCCTTACAATTATGAAAGCAACCTTTAACGCATATTCTTTTGCTTTAACTTTTTCAAGGGTAATTGCAGTATTTACTTGTATGATTCAAAGCTCTTTGTAGACTGACAAAGGAATAAAATTTGGCTGGTTAAGCCATACCTTAAATCATATACAGCTAATCAATCCTATCAAGAATTGGAGGCAAGGTATAGGCAGACCCAGAACTACATGAATTTCCCATCAAAATAATTCTGCCTTTTTTCTCCTACCTTACCACCTTTGACAGGAGTTGAAAGTAAAGCCACTTTATCACAGTAGGTCACCAAGGACACAACTGTGATTTTATCACTTAAATGTTTGTTTAGACATTGATRCAAAGGAGTCATGTTACCAAGAGGAATGAAAATGGAAGAAAAACTTGTCTGCAGATGCTCAACCTTTCCCTAATAAGTTGTCTAGATGGCTGCTGTACCGAAGCAACTGCCTTATGCTTCTTTGTACTTGGCAGCCATTAGATTTCTAATTTCCAGTTTTCAGAGGAACATCTGAATATTACACTAACAAGAGTTCATAGACTGTTTAAAAACTCCTGTAACTCAGAGGCCATGTTTAACAAAAACACTGTTATACAGAATCTGTCCTTACCTTTTCTACAGTCAAAAAAACGTTTTTTCCAAGAGCAGATGAAGACTTGGACGTTTGCAGTTTGCCAGCTGTCTTTTTACTTCTTTCCTTAGCTTTCTGGTCTTGAGCCAATGGTGAGCCAGCAATTTTAGGAGATATATGAGCTTTAACAGGGCTTCTGTTGGGAGGAGTATAAAGGACATGTGTTTTATCAGCTGATAAAAGTTTATCTGATTGTTTCTGAAAAGAAGGTGGCAACTGACAGACTGGACTCTCCCACACACAGTATGTCTCCCTTTTAATAGCCCTGGGACTTCTTTCCATATTTTTATTTCTCAATATTTTCAGTTTTGACATTGAGTCTTCCACGAATTTTTCTATAACCTTGTTTTCTTGTTCTTCTGACTGGGTAGTTTGGTTCTGTTCATTCTTATTTCCAGTCTCTATCTGCAGCGCAATCAAATTAGCTTCTTTGAAAATTTCAACAAATTTCTCTCCTGCAAGTGGACTCCACACAAGTTTACCACCAGGAGACGCAGCCTTTTCTTCAGTACTTTTTGTTGCTTCAATGCTGACAGCAATACATTTTTCTTTGTGTCCCAGGGGTCCAACAAAAACTTCATCTTCATTTCCACTATGAATAAAAATAAGTCMGTCAAGAGCTTAAGTTATTGGCATTTTAAGGATGTACTTACCTGCAGACACTTAACTCACCTTGCAGGAGACAGTGAAAGGTCAAAGTCAAACTTTTCATCAGTCAGGAGAGTAAAATCTGAAACTATAATATGATTTCATTAGAATTTTGCCACARAGACAACTTCAGTAATTTGTATTGAATTACACTTTGATAATTTGATGAGGTCAACATCAGATAGCAAATGCTATTATTAAGTAGTTAACATAGAACAGGCATACGACATTTGTTAGTTCAAAGAAATTACAAAGTTACACCCCTGCACATGATCATAACTGTCACGGCTGCCCAAGTATCCTGCAAGATCTAAGGAAGAGAAGAGAGGAGCTTCAAACTAGATGTAGAGAAGGCAGGTCCATCTCTACATCTGCTACAGCTGCTCTAACACAAGTTCTCCACAAGCTCTCAAGGGGCGCAAACCATTGAGATAGGCAACAGAAACTCATCCAAAGAAGAAACTATACAGAACTAGTTATAAACCAGATACAAGAGGTCTAGGTAGTTATTTGTACAGGATACACCAGCTAGAGTGCGTCTTGAAGTATTTTCCACCTACCATTGCTCGGACAAATATTCAGGTTTTCTTCAGTCACAGGACTCGAGCAACATGCTACTGTTTCTTTTCCTTCCTCCATAGTATCTGCAAAATAAGGAATAAACTATGCAGTGGGTTTTATAATACGTTAAYGTCACAGATAATTGTTATGACTGTGGCACGTCAGTAAGCAGATGAACACCCCCACTGGAGGCTTGTGTGGGAAGTCCAGCAACAGCCTTACAGAGAAGCAACTTGAAAAGCCACTAAAAACTCACTGTGCTCTCCCCAAACAGGGCACTGAATGGACCAAGACCAGTCACATAAGAAGTGTTGGAAGCTCTATTAAAGGGGGGAGAAAAAAAAAAAAAAAAACCCACACCCTTGGGGTGAAGCACTAGTGCCCAGGATAGGCAGGACGCCTCAATGCGGTGCCTAAAGATCCCAAGCAGTAACTAAACATCCTACAGACGGGCAGGGGCCTCGCTCGACCCGACCGGCAGAGCTCCGGCCGGGCCGCGCCTGGGCGACCGGGCCCACGCTGCTCAGCGGCGGAGCCCCCRGGTTCCCCGGGCCCCGCACGGCCGCCCCGGGCCGGACCGGGCCGCGCTCACCTCGTCCCGCTGCCCCCTCMCTCGGCGCCGCCGCCGCGAACGAGGCCTCCCCACGCCGCCGGCGCCACGTTTGAAACCGCGCTTCCCGCTCACGTGACGCCCCGCGCGCGCCCTCATTGGCCGATTCGAAGGATAACGGTGCGGCGGCCGCGGGGGCTGCTGGGGCGCGTAGTCGGTTGGGCGCCCCAACGGCCGCGGCYGCCTCAGAGCCGGGGCAGCGGGAAAAGCCTCGCGAAAGTAACGGGGATAGGGGGAAAACGCACAGAAAGAGCCATGAGTACAAAGCCTGAAGTGGAAAATAAAAATAAATAAATAAAAAATAAATGGAAAAAAAAAAAGGATGAACTCAGTGTATTGTTTTTATTGAGGTGCCTCCCATATGTTGTTTAATGAAAGAGGCCCCCGGCAACACCAGCTCTTTGTCTTTTAGGATCTAGTCGGAAGAAAGACACAAGTGACTCAACTCAGTGGATCCCCCTGTAACTCCTTAGTGCAGTCTCAATCTCTCCCTGGAAGCCATTATAATATTCCTATTTTCCTATAAAAACCCCTTTTTAAAATAAATAAAAATACTGACATATAAAAAAGTACTTGACAGCCTCGGTGGCTCTGCTGGTTGTAGGAACCAATGTGTTTCATTCCATTTAAATCCTTGTTTTACTCCAGGTGCAGCCAGTGGGAGYAAAGGGCACCCCCACTTCTACGGAAATGCGCAGGGATAGATTCCTATTAAAGCTGCAACAAGGTCACTYAAAGGCAATGGAGACTCAGCACAGTTTCAGCTAAACTGTTAAAAGTTTTGCTGAGGTGAAAATAGCTCTTTTTATACATGTTATTTATGGAAAAGAGTCTTATGCCATGACAGACGAGAGTAAGAGTAAACGAAGTCAGCCCTAAGATTAAGAGCATTAAATTTTGTAAGCTTTTAAACATTTGCTTTGTATTTGAAATTCAATATAACATTTTCCAGAGCATAAATAATATCCCAGGACATATTTGGACACTGCTAATGGTTTTACTAAAACTAAAGGAACCAAATGTGATTTATATAAAAATGCAAATGCTGCATATGCAAAGAAAAGACAAAAGCTTGTAGCAATGAACCAGAACTGCAAGTTCACATTTGTCTTGGTCAATGGCAATAATATATGACAAGAATTTTAAAGTAACATTCAAATGGGAAATGGAGGTTATTTTACCTTTTGGCAGTTTAAAGATGATASAYGAAGCTGCTCATATTTTGTTTTGGGAAAGAAGAGCTCTTCTCTGTTTTTTTCTTACACTACGAATTTAATCGTATATATTCAGAAGCCCTACAGATCCTTACTGAACCATCAGATTTATTAAAGCATCATGAACTCAAAGAAAAACTTAYGGGAGAACTTCTGCCCCGGCACAGCTCCTTTTAATTACTGTTRGTGGGCAGAGACAAATGGAATATATGTGATATTTCATCAGGGAAACATAAAAAATAGTTTATATTCAAATTCCTTGAAGGTCTGGAGATTTGCTAGATTTTTAAAGCCCCTGTTTCTCYTTTGCTGAATATTACCAGTGTTTTAGCAGAGGAATATCCCAGTAYATGACAATATGTGCTACTCTTTATTCTTTTTTTCTTATATTTTGGCCTGTTTATGCTTTCTACGCTAGTCTATGTACAAAGAGGTTGCATTGGCACATGTACGTTCAGGGAACTTACCCTCCAAACAAAATCTGTTTTCCAGAACATAATTCTGGCTGAAGGGTGCAAGGCAAAGAACAGATTTCTTACTTTAATGCAAAGCAGAAATAAGAGTAAGGCTTATTCAACCCACAGTAATGCTGCCTCCCTACAACATGGACATTTATAGTAAGTAACACCAGCGCCCCATCCAACTACAACAGTATGATGCTCACGTGCAATTTAATTCACATTGCAGTCACCTGGTGACTTTCATTATGACAATCAGTTTAACTCAGCTGAGAGAAAATCATCTCTATTTAGAGACTAAGAAACGTTTCGATCCGAATTGTTGTGACACCACCTAGATTTCATTAGAAAAATAAAAGAGAAAGTTCTGCATTCTTACAGGTGGTCAAAAATGAGTAAAAGGAAGAAAATGCCATGATTTTACTGCTGCTATCAACATTTCCAAAGCTTTTTTTTTTTTTTTTTTTAAATCAGCTCTAATTCCTGAGACACCTGGGAATGATGACAAGTGAACAGACAACTCCCATCACATTAACATGTGACAACAAAATTCTCATCTTGTTTAGACACAATGAACAGGAAATGGCAAAACTTCAAATTTTAAATTTCCTGCTGCAGATTTCCTTATACTTAGTTACTATCTCTAAATGTCCAAATGTTTTCTTCTGTGTCTTTATACAGACTGCTTACTGAACGTGATTGTGTTATGAAAGTCAACAGACCGTTGAAGACACCTACTTTTCCCAGACCTGTCAGAATATAACAGCACATCTAAGTGATAGCAGCTTGAAATTTCACTCCAAGTAAATTAACTGAGCAATAATTGTAGAAAGGAACTAAGTTTTACACAGAAGATAGCCAGTGATCTAACAGAAAGTAGCTGCAGCTCATCCTCCCACATTTTTCACCACTAGCACCCTTCATCTATGCATTACTTTTGTTGCTAAGAATCTGGCAGTGTTTTAGCAGCCAGCTACTGTTTATAAGAAGGGATCCCAGCAGTTAAAAGGAGAAGTCAGTCGTTGGGATTACTCATCATTTGCCTCTTGAGCTGCTCTGGAGATTATTTTGAAGATCTATGTCAAAAACAGCTCTAGAAAATTAGTAACTTTTGAGCTTTGGCTTSACATCTATGAAGAGCCGAGTGCTCAGTGCTGTCCGAATCGGGAGAAAGACTCTTTGAAGACTTTGCTCCTTTGTGAGAGAGAGCAAGTGGGTAAAAAAAAAGGACTTTTCCCTCTCGGCAAGAAGAAATCTGCTTTATTGGCACCTCGACCACCAGGATAAGATGAATGCCAGGAGGTAAGCTGCATGTGCCGCATTGCCCCAGACAGGTAAGGCAGGAAAGCAAGCCACTGACAGGGAGGATATTCCTCTCACGATCTTAACTTGATGCTGCCATGTTATCATTAACTGTGTCATTTGATTTGCAGTTGTGCAAGACAGAGAAGATAGCCTTTGCCCTAATACRAGTGCTAAAAATGTACTGCTCACTCTAAAGCTAGTTTCTGTAAAATATCAGCTGTGGAACTTGTTTCACTGACAAATTACCTTTTGCAGGTTGTGCTTCCAAGCCCTTCATCTTTAACACTCAGTTCTAACAGCTCTCTTTCAAGTACACGAGTACCATTTGTGGTTAAGAATTCTTAACTCATAAACCGAGCCTTATCTAACGCTTGGGGTTTTATTTTTTGATAACTCCTATTCTTCTGTGATAATAATAGCCCAGACACCTGCGGACAAGAGTTGTGACATGTCGTACTTCTCAGACCCCTTCTAAGCTTTGTGAAAAGCTCAAGCTGACTCGTGTCCTTTCAGTGTTATTGCTTAGATGAGGCACGCTGCGACCAGGACAAATTGCCATTGAGATGGCCGTGACTGGAGGTCACTTGCTATAGCCTAGCACTTATGCTCTTAAATCACTTGAGAAAGACAGCAAAGCAAGGTAAAATATTACGGCGTGGAATGCTGCAGATGCCCTTCGCATAGTTACTCCTCACTGGTGTCTCTGGCTAAAGAATACCCTGACAAAGCCTGCTGAGAGAAGTGCCCTCTGAAAGGAAGGAATAAAAAACACATCAGCTGAGAAGAATGGGAAGYTCACATGCACTTGCTGCACTTATTCCCATGGACTGAAGCTGATAAATTGTGTTTTAATCCTATCATAATTTTGCAAAATGAAAAGGTGTATTTTTTCCTCTAGAATAGATCTCTTTCAATAGCAAAGAAGAGCATTCGGTGTCCTTTAACGAGCCCATAACCAGTCTCTCCGCCTGTCAGTGGGAGAGATACAGCAAATGGCTGGTAAATGTTCTGCATTTCCAATTAAGGAAATGACTCTATTAGCCCCATACAGTTTGAAGAGCTCTTTCCCAAATCTAGTCAATGATTCAATGCACGCTCCGTACTTCATTATAAACACTACTGAACTCTTAATAAAACGCTCCATTTTTAATCATACTCTTGCTTTTTTTTTTTGTTATGGCAGGATACACTCTCTCCGTGCTCACAGACCGAAAAGCACAGCAAACATTCGTGAGAACTGGCACAGTGCCCCTGGGCCCATACGGCAGCGCGGAGATGAGCTCGCTGCAGTCTGCACGCTTTACACCGTGATTGTCATGATTATCCTCATGGCAATTTGGGGAGTCTGGTCAAGAAAGGATCCTTAGTACAGCGGCAAGATGCTTTCTTTGTCAAATACTCAAAGAAATCCTCTTGTTGATTGCACGTACTCAGGGAGTATAAAGGTGATCTCTGTGTATTGTAGTTTACTTGAAACTGTTTAAACTGGTGCTGCT